AAGTGAAAATGCGTGAACTCGGAGTCGAGCGCAACACCAACTATAAGATACTCTTCTATTTGGACTCATCGGCGATGATTAGTGTCCACACACAGCGATACGGATTGGTTGATGTATGTCATTGTGTCCGCCATCATGTCTTGAGTTCTTAATGATCACTCTATCTCTGTGTTTGTGACCATTAGGTGAAGCCATTGGGTGTGATTTGGGGTAAATTCAAAGAGTATTCGGCGAAGAATACGATTATGTTTGACGACATCCGCAAGAATTTTCTAATGAATCCGCAGAACGGACTCCGCATTCGGGCCTTCCGTGAGGCCCATAAGAACCGCGACTCCGACCGAGAGTTGTATTATTTGGCCAAATATTTGAAGAGAATTTCCATTTTAGAGGACTTCTCGTCACTTAATCACAGACATTGGCAGCGAATGATTTTGGGCGACGATCTCTAGCCCTGTGTCTGTGTGGCCGTCGACTCACCATCGGATTTGATGGACACTTATTGTCACCTCAAAGACTAATGCGAAGTACAAAACACGTGTAAATGTAGATCAAAAATACATGTTTTAGGTTTCTCTGTGTTTTGTTTGATAGTAATTATAATTAATTTTGTATTTGTTTCGCATTTATTTAATTATTTAATGAGTTTTGAGTTTCAATTGTGAGATATACTTATGATTTGTATTTTTAATTTAAGATTTAATTATTTTGTTTTCATTCCAACCGATTGTCTGAATACTTATAATCAATCATTGAATTATATTTAATCACACTTTGTTTATAACATTATTTGTTAAGTACTTATCATTGCATTCTCTGTATAACTATTGTGTAAATTATAACAAAAAATTGTTTTTATTTTCACTTCTTTTGTACCAAAAAATTTCTATTGAAAAAAGTTTTTGCAAATAAAGTGTTAAATACGAGAATATTTTGATTATTTCGCTTCAAATGAAATCTAAATCTTTATATTAATTACAAAACCAATGATTGAATAGAAATGAATATTTTATTGAATTTGTTGCGAAAAATATGTCATTTAAATGAAATCACAGAATATTTTATAAGAAATAAATTAATCAAATAAAAATGTGACTAAATATTGGCTAAAATTAAAATATTTTAAATAAATAATAGTCTTAAAGAAGAGGACAGAATGGAAACCAATTAAGTAAGTCGTTGTCATAGTGTATAAGAAGACCATTGCTATCGTAATAAATCATACAATATGTGCATTCAATATCTCTAACGATACAAAGACTTTTTAATTTCGGACATTTTTGGATCATTTGCTTTAAATCGGATTTTTTGAAACCAAACTTTGCTGTGAATGAAAGATCCAGCGATTCCAGTGCCGACAGTCTTGCCATATATGCCAACCATTGGCTGTCAATCCTAAGGAGATGTCCAGAGATTTTCAGTGTCTGTAGTTTGTATTGTTTGAACACAATCTGTTCAATCAGTTCTTGTGGAGCTTTGAGACCATTAATTGTGGTTAAGTAGATCCATAAGTGTGTCAATTGTGGCCAACGATTCAATGCTTGTAATTGAGTCCAATCGGTGATCACTTCATTAGTATTGTCATCAAAGTTGAGCTCTAAGTGAAGACGTTTCAATCGCCGCATGTATTGAATGGCATTCATTATCTGAATGAATACCGTGTCGTCTGAACGAACACTTAATGAAAACTTCTTGAGTTTCGCACTCTTTATGCCAACTGTTTTGAGACAATCATAGAGTGAATACTGAAGAGTGCTTTCGGTGTGAAAATTCAATTTTATTTCTCGGAGTTCCAGGAATTGAGTCAATTTTGTGATCAATTGAGTGACTATTGATTGCCATTCAATCGATGGGTCGATACCTCCGATAGCGAGACAACGAAGTCGTGTCTTATAGTAATCGATAAATATTTGAAATCTTTGGCCATTAAATTCATTGTCTCTCCAAAAGATATGAATTGTTTTCATGCGATTGAATGCCACTAATTGGTTGTCTTCTTCGGTGGTAAACATGGATTGCAAGCCAGGAGTCCATAACTGACATAAATTGGGACAATTGGACACATATGGCAATAGGTTCTCATTATAGCGCTTTAATTTAATAATCATTGGACCAAATGTGGTGAACATATAGTGAAGAAACTGATGGTTCGACTCGGTATAAGTACAGTGGAAAAAGTCAATACTCTTGAGATACGGCCAACTGTTCCGCAGGTAATCGATGGCCTCAAACAGTGGTCTCCGATACAACTCTTCTGTAATCGCATTTTCGCAAACATAATATACTCTTTGAATGTTTGGGCACTTCTTCTGCAGAAATGCAATCAATTTCTGACACAACTCTTCGTCCGAAAGACAATGATTTGCTGTCTCTTTGGCTCTGAATTTAACGATCATATCTTCGTTGATATAAATATCATTAATTGTGTCAAACATTAATCGCTGGAATCGTTTGGACACACATTCGAGTCGACACATGTCTTGAAATGTCATAATAAAACTTATTTCATATTTATTGCCCACTGAATGGTAAGACAATAAAAGTCTGACCAAATCATCACCGAATCTATCAAAAGAGTCTTTTGCATAGTTTTCAGACTATATTTAAAAAGAAATACAATTAAATAAGTGTTTTAATCATACATTCAATTGATTACTGTTTTGTTATTTTTGTGATTCTTTGAGAATAAATCTCGAAACCGATCACAGAATCGATTCATTACTTAATGTCCAACACTTCCGATAATACCGTAAATTATTAACGATTTAAAAAATAATAAAAAAAATTGAATTGAGATTATTTTTAATTCAAATTATATGACAAATAGTGTTAACAATTAGAAATACTTATACAGTGAAAGACACAAGTCATACACACTGTGTATAAAAGTATTTACAGGTCTTTATGTTTGCCAACTATTATTGAATGAATTACCAAAATATGTCATTTTAATCAAATTATTTGTATGGATTTGTCTTTAAATTTTTACAATTAATAATATTTAAATCATGTCTAATGTAAAGCTTAAAAATAACGAATATATTTCATAATTCACAAAATGTATTCAAAATGATAATCAGATAATATCTGACCTAAATTATCCAATAAATTACCAATAGCTAAAGCTTTAAATGTATACACTTTACTGTTATACTAGAATCTAGTAACTAGATGTATCATATTATTTGTATCTTTCAGACATCTAAAGTGTACTATAAAAATTTTCAATTATAAAGTGGCTTTATAAAAATTTTTATAAAAGTCTAAAATAAACTTTTAAACCAAACATCAAACCTCTGTCTAAAATTATTAAATAATTATTTTCTAGAAAAAATAATTTTAGGACAATTCATTTGTTTTTTATATCATGTAAATCTGAATTTAATTTTAATTAATAATTGTTTAGACATTTTAACTTTATGATAAGACTTTAAATACTATTAATAAATTTCCATTTGCTCTTAATTATTAAACACTACAATAGAAAAGTACTGTATATACCAATGTAGCATGGTGCAATTTACTCTAAATGACTCAAATAGATATTGATTAAATGATATCTTATTGTGAAATATATTTAATAATAAATCAATTGTACTTGATATAAATAATGCGATTTTAAATTGCATTTTAAAAGCTATCAATAAAAAATGATATAAAAATGTTATGTGATATTCAAATGAAAATTGTGTCATTGAATGAAGTAAATGCAAATTCTTTAAAATTAATTGAATACTTCCGTAATATAAGTTAAGTTAAGCAATATTTTAATGTAATTAATTGGAAATCAATTGATTATATAATAGCGTGACTCAAAAAAGTTTATATTTTCATTTGAATATCATTAGAGCTGTCTGTAAAAAAATTACAGACAATTATTGTAACTTAAAATAGTCTAATGAAACAAACAACTCATCAAAAAATACTTTTACCACATTATCAGTCAAACAGATTTAAGGTGTGTTTGAATAAAATTTGATTACAAATAGTATTTCAAAATGAATTCATTTAAACAAAAAGCACTTTTATTGAAAATGAGAGCCGAAGATATAGTCAACGATTATATTGAAAATAACAGTGATTTGAGTGAAGAGATCAAAAAGTTTGACAAATATATGAAATACTTTTGTGTCACTCTATCGACAACTTTGGATGATTTTATTACCGGTTATTACACTCGGAGTAGACTTATATGGTTTATGATTGTAAGATTGAGCACGGTCTATTGTGCAATTGGTAAGTTAATCGGGAGTTAATCTGCATTCAAAAGTCAAAATATGCCCATGGCCAGAAACGACAAAGTTATGACCATTTTTGTAAACATTTACATACGTTGTAAAGCATAAGATTTTGATGATTAGTGATGCGCCCGAGAAAACTCACTTTCCTATGCTATACACCGTATGTAAACGTTTGCAAAAATGGTCATAACTTTGCCGTTTGTGGCCCCGTTTGGGCACATTTGGGCTTTTGAATACAGACCAGACACCTGTACTCGATCTAACCATGTCAACAAAATAATTAAATTGCCATGTCACTATTCTGATTTCCCAATTTAGTTTTGATATTCTTCAATCAGAATGATTTTAAAAAGTTAGTGAACCTGCTTGGTGATTCTATGTTAACCATAACTCAATGGGTGCTCATTTTATTAGTCAATATATGTATTGAGACGTGTATTGTATATCAGGAGAGAAGCGGTGTTTTCCATGTATTCAAATTCATGCACTCATTGCTATACAAACGACTCAAATATCCATTGTGTGGTCGGAGGGAGAAGAGGATTAGTTTGAAGACAAGTTTGATTATACGACAGATAAGCGCATCGTTTGTTCCGTTTGTGATATTTTACTTTTTAATTTCAATCATTTTTCTGGTATATGTAGTATTATATCACTTGACTGCCATACAAAGTATTTTTCTCGTTTCATCATGTCCATTTATGTTAATTGCTTTCTATCAGGGTCTGGGGGTTGGGATTGAAATGTTTTTATTAGTGTTTATCATTACATCTTATATAAAGCAAAAGTTTCTTGAAATACAACAAACTATTGCATTGAGTGTTAAGTATAATAATATCCGACGTTTATTGCGAGCCATCGATGAACACCATTATTACGAGCGATGGGTTAAGCGTTTGAATCATACGTTTACGGTTGTGGTATATGTTATGTATTATTTGCTATCAATTGATATTGAATTATGCATTTATTCATTATATCATCAAAACACTACATATAGCTATTGTTATTTGATGGTTTTTATGATAGCACTCAATTCATTTTATATCTTGACTTTATTCATAACGTTCTCATCCATTCCGAGAGCAGCCCATAAACCATATCCACTGTTATTATCATATCTAAGCCGAAGACCAGTCCTCTCACCGACCGATCGGTTAAAAGTGATGGCATTTATCGAGAGATTGTCGTCGGAAACAAAGATTGTCTGCATTTTTATAGATATGAATTCTCTCACCGACCGATCG